TTTTTTTTGAGAGGTTTTTGCTATAGGGCACGCGCGCTTGCCAGAAAGACAGAGAGACAGAAAGCGAAAAATCACCCCCCGGGGGGGATGGCCACGCCACAATCCCTTCTTCTCCATTCTCCTCTCAGGCATCTTGGGCACGCACACACACGCGTTCAGTGTGATTTGAAGCCACCGGGTCCTGTCTCTCAAACCGCAGTCGACTACGTGAGAGTTGAACAACATAGCCATTACGCTAACTGCTGGCCCCTCAGAGTTGCCTCTTTTTAAGGATAGGAAATAATGTGCCAGTGGAACTTTAGGCAGTTGGTTAGCCAACTAAATGAAACTACCAATCTTTTTTTTTTTTTTTTTTTGAGAGGTTTTCTCTATAGGGTGTGTGCGCTCGCCAGACAGACAGAGAGAGACAGAGACAGAAAGTGAGAAATCACCCCCCAGGGGGGATGGTCACGCCGCAATCCCTTCTCCTCCATTCTCCTCTCGGGATCTTGGGCACACACGCACATGCGCCCAGCGTGAGTTCTAAGCCACCGGGTCCGGGACGCAAACCGTGGTCGACTACATGGGAGTCCAGCGACATAGCCATTACACTAACTGCTGGTTCCCAAAACTACCAATCTTGATCTGAGTGTCTTTTAGATATAGCATCTTTAGACTCTGGTCACATGTAAGAATTTAAACTGAATGTTCTTTTCCATCCTTCACATACTTTTTTTTTTTTTTGAGAGGTTTTTGCTATAGGATGCATGTGCTCACCATAAAGACAGAGAGATCAAGATAGACAGAAAGTGAGAAATCACCCCCCAGAGAGGATGGTCATGGTGCAATCCCTTCTCCTCCATTCTACTCTCAGGATCTTGGACACATACACACACACACACACACACACACACACATGTGCCCAGCATGAGTTTAAGCCCCCAGGTCCGGGACTCGAACCGCAGTCGATTACGTGGGACTCCAGCGACACAGTCATCATACCAAGTGCTGGTCCTGACCTTCATATACATTTTCTGATACTTTAAGTGACAGAAATCTTACTCACCTAATCTTTCTGTTTCTGAATGCAGAGGTACTTGTAGTTGTATTAATTATTGTTTAGTAGTGTATTAATTATTCCTGGTATTTTAATAGTCTGTTTAGGCTGCTATAACAAAATACCATAGACTGGGTGGCTAATAAACAGCAGAAATTTATTTCTCACAGTCTGGAAACTGAAAAAGCCCAGATCCAGACCCAGGTGTAGGAAGCCCAGATTCTGCATCTGGCAACAGCCTGTTTCCTGGCTCCTATATAGACCACAACTTACTTTTCATTGTGTCTTCACAGGGTAGAAGGAAAGACTTATCTCTCTGGGCCTTTAATACGGGCACTTCTCCCATTCAGGAAGGGTCTGCTTGACCTAATGGTGTCCTTAAGGCCCTCACCTCCTAACCCCCATCACCTCAAGGGGTAGGATTTTAACATATGAATTTGGAGAGGACACAAACATTCAGACCACAGCATGAAACTTTTCTGCACATCAGCTTGCACAGTTGAGAGCTTCTGGAGGTGGGAATTGTTTTCTCCTTCCTCACAGCCACACATCACAACGTTTATCCTTCTGGAAAATCGATTGACTAACAGCATCCCTCAGCTTCCTCAACAAAAAGCATATGTCTAAACTAAAAATAGAACACAGAGCCTTCATGCTTTTCAGTCATAATCGATATGACTATTCATGAGGCAATTATTTTAAGCTTAGTAATTTAGCGATAATCCCATCCTTGAATTAGGCTTGAAACCTTAAAGAGAAATTTCAGGGTGTTTATTTGCCGTAGCTTGCTTCTAAGCAACCATCGTCCTCCGGGCTTATAGCCCCCTCCACAGGCATCATTTCTAGGGAGCAATTTTAGTTTACGTAACAGTTTTTGGAAAGTACCTATTCTGTTTTAGGAAAACTATGGACTCTCTCTCTTTCTCTTTTCAGAATTCTTCTCCTATGACTATTTCCTTTAACTACAGACTCAAACAATAATTAAAGGTATCAAGAAAAATGCTGGGAGAAAAGCCAACTTAATTGTACTCTCCAGAATAATTGTTTTTGACTTCCAGCTTGCCCCCATTGTGATGTTTTTTTGGAAAAAGAAATGAAAATCGATATCAGACGCCAACCATTTTCAAACAAGTAGAAATTATAATCTGGTAGGTGCCTATTTAAAGTAACAGACTCCAAGGCAACATAAGAGGCTTAATTTTGGATATGCATGTTATTAACGAAGAGTAGGAGAGACCATTATCCAGTAGCAAAGAGCCAAAAGTATGAATTAACCATTTTAGATTTATATTCTCATTTCTTTAAGTTCCGAGATGGATAAAATAACTTCTCCCTGTGTTTAGCTTCTCTGTCCTTCTATTACAGGCAAACTCTTTATTACTTCATAAAGTTGTGGACTACCTGGGCTTATAAAACTCTAAGCTCCTCAAAGAGATTGATTTGTAAGTAAATGACCCTATGCAATGGTATACTCTCAATTTAAATTGGTGTGTTAGGTCTTGGAATGGGGCAATCATATCTTCCAAAAGTAAAATCTTTTTTTTTTTAAAGTTTATTGATTTACTTCATTAGAGTGAGAGAAAGAAAGAGAGAAAAAGAGGTAACCTTGACAAGGTCCAGCCACACCACACTCCTCCCAGCTTTCTGGTCAGCAGGGTCATGGATATGTGGGGTCAACCCAGATTCAAACCTAGACCTCCCATATGGCTCCAGTTTTCACAGTGGCTCCATATCTACCACGTGCGCTGCCACAGCTGGGCCTCGAAAGTGAAATCTCATTCTTAAATTATACAGGCCATCTAGTGGTGCAGTAGTTAAGGTGACGAGATCCCACATGGCCAACTGTGTGCTTCAAGTCCCGGACTCTAGTTTGGAAAACATGTCAGGAGTGTGTGTATGGGTGTCCAAAATCCATACACGAGGAAAAAAAGGAGAAGGGGCTGTGGCATGACCACACCGCATGGGGGTGCTTTCTCTCCCAACCCCTCTCCTGCAAGCGCATACACCATCTGACAAAAAAAAAAAAAAAGACAAGAGGGCAACTCCTGGAGATATGCATTTTGAAATTTTAAATGATTAAAGTACATATGTAATATTCTGGGGCCAACAGGCAGCACAATGGTTATAGCATTGGACTCTCACATGGTCAACCACAGTTCAAGTCCTGGACCCAGCAGTTTGAACATCATGCAGGTGCATGTGTGTGCATGCCCAAAAATCCCTAGAGGAGAATGGAAGAGAAGGGATTGCAGCATGGCCATACCTTCTGGGGAGTGATTTCTTATTTTCCCTCTCACTATTTCTCTCTGGCAAGTGTACAAACACTATAGCAAAAAAACTAAAAATGAACAAAAACAACATAACATTCAAGCTTAAAATAGTCATTTAAATATTTTCATGAATTTATGCTTTACAAATCTAGTGGAACTATCTCTACACTGAATATATTTTATTTACCAGTATAATTACATTTATATTGGTAAAGTTGTACTGTAAATCTATTATAAATACTGGCGTAAAGAGTTAAGAATAACTTAACTTAAATACACACACTCCATAATTTATTAATAGAAATTTAAACCAGGACCAGCAGGTGGCACAATGGTTGAGGTGCTAGACTCTCCCGTGGCCAACCACAGTTTGAGTCCTGGACCTGGCAGCTTGCTTTCTCTTCTCTCTCTCTCTCTCTCTCTCTCTCTTCAGTGAGTATATGTGCCCTATAGCAAATTTAAAAATAATAATAAATAAAATTTTAAAAAAGAAATTTAAAACTATTATAAAACTACCTTTTCAACATTGTTAGAAAAAAGCAAGTTCTGTAGACCCCTCTAAGGCAGCAGATGGTCATGAATAAATTATAATAAGGAATTAATAACAGAATTTCACATTTTTAGAGATTTTTCCCATAGGGTATGTGTGCTTGCCAGAGAGACAAAGAGACAGAAAACAGGAAATGAGCCCTCAAGAAGGATGGCCACACCATAATCCCTTCTTCTCCATTCTCCTCTCGGGATTGTGGGGATGCACACACATGCACCTGGAGTGTTTCAAGCCGCCAGAACCAGGACTTGAATTTGCTATGTGAATCCGCTATGTGAGAGTCCAGTACTTTAACCACCACACCACATTCTGGCCCCAAGAATTTAAAAATTTCACTTACAAAAAGTTACTGGGAAGGACCAGCAATTACTGTAATGGCTATGCCGCTAAGCTCCCATGTAGTCGACTGCGGCTTGAGTTCCATACCCAGTGGCTTAAACTCACACCAGGCACGTGTGCGTGCATGCCCAGGATCCCGAGAGGAGAACTGAGGAGAAGGGATTGCTCCATGGCCATCCCCCCTGGGGGGTGATTTCTCGCTTTCTGTCTCTCTGTCTCCCTCTGTCTTTCTGGTGAGCGCACGCACCCTATAGCAAAAACCTCTCTGAGAAAAAAAAAAAAAAAGTCTCTGAGAAAAAAAAAAGTTACTAGGAGGCCAGCAGGTGATATGGTGGTTAAGGCACTGGATTCCCACATAGCCAACCATGGTTCGAGACCCCGACCTGGGGGCTTGCTTTCTCATTTTCTCTCTCTCTCTCTCTCTTTCTCTCTTTCTCTTTCTCTGATAAGCACATGTATCCCATAGCAAATTAAAAATAATAATAAATAAGTCTAGTAAAAATTTTACCAAAAAATGGAAAGCTTGCTCAGTTAATATCTGAATTTAGACGCTAAAATGGTATCTATCTTGTAATGTATTTTAAAATGTTATCACTAGCTACCAGCAGGCAGTACTTACACAAAGGTACCAATTAATGTGACAGCAGCTGAGTGTTGAGGCCAAATTAGGGGGAATTATTTACTCTCATTGCTATGATTGGAAGTGTGGAAGAGGCACCCAGAAGCTACCATGAAGGAAGTTATGGTTAAACACACACTACTTTTTATATTCATCTTGAGAAGTACAATTTCCCAAAATCCTTTCAAGAAAAATAACCCTAAAGCAAATGAAATATAGAAAGCAATTTATAATCTTGTACCCTGTGCATCCGTTTGAACAGCAACCACAGACTCTAAATATTGGATAAATATTTAATTATTTTCTAAAAAAAAAAATTGCTAAAGGGCACATACACATGTGGGGGAAGAGAAAGAGAGAGATGAGGCACCCCCCCCACCACCCCAGGAGGATGGTCTTGCTCCAATCTCTTCTCCATTTCTCCCTCCTTTTGGGATTTTGGGCACACGTGCACAAGCCTGGTGTGTTTTACAGGCAGTCAATCGGGGATTTGAACTGTGCCATCTGCCATATGAGATCTGGCCTTTTAATTCCCAGCCACTGACTGGCCCCTTAAATTTGTTGTTATGAAAATTTCTAAGCATACACGAAACAGAGAAAACAGAAGAAAGAGCCTCCATGAACCTATTACCAAGATTCAACATTCAGTAACACATGACCAACCCTATTTTATTTATAACCCAGCTGCTCTTACCCCATCCACATTAGGTGAAATATTTAAAATCAACTGTTGGATATTGTTCAGATCATTGCACCAGAAAATACCAAGGGATATACAGCTAAGAAACTAAGACTCTTTTTCTTTTCCTTTGTCTTTCTTTTTTTAAATTTAGTTTTGCTATAAGGCACATGTGCTTGCCAAAGACGGGGGGTTGAGGGAGTGGAGATGGCCATGCCTCAATCCCTTCTCTTCCATTTTCTTCTCTTAGGATTTTGGGCACACATACATTCACACACACACGCCCAATGTGTAAGACTCTTTTCAAAGATTTTTTGCCATAGGGCTCATGCACTTGCTGGAGAGAAAGAGAGGACAGTAAGAAATCACCCCCCAGGGGTTGATGGCCATACCACAGGCCCTTCTCCACCATTCTCCTCTTGGGATTTTGGGCACACATGCACACGTGTCTGGCATGTGTTTCAGGCTGCAAGGTCTGGGACTTGAACTGTAGAGCTGGCTATGTGGGATCCAGTATCTTAACCACCGTACCACCTGCTGGCCCAAGATTTTATTTTCAAAGCATAGTTATAATGCCAGTGTCATACTTGCAAAAAATAAACACCTTAATATCATGTAATATATAGACAAAAATAGGAAAATTCTTGTACTCATATAGTCTAGTTAATATTTAGTAGCAATACAAAATATTTTCTGATTGAACTCTGTATATATCTGAATTCGTAATTATTTCCGTATAGTATTTGAATTGTCTTATTGTGTTGAAAATACATTAAAATGAGTATATCTTATAAATCATATTCCCACATCTGAGCAATTATTTGGTTGATTTTATTCTGAAACTTAGAAATTGGCAAGTTCATTATTTGCAGGACAAGAAACAGCAACTGAATTCAACTTCTCTGTTTGAAATGAACTTCTCTGAATCCAGAATAGAAGGAATAATATCTTGACAGCTTTCTTACTATGTCATGGCTGACTCTATTATACTCAGTGTTAAAATGTTAAAAATTCTTGGGGCCGGCAGGTGGCGTGGAGGTTGAGGGTGTGGACTCCCACATGGCTGACTATGGTTCGAGTCCTGGACCTGACCTGGCAGCTTACCTTCTCACTTTCCTTTTCTCTCTCTCTGTTCCTCTCTGGTAAAATTAAAATAAGTAAGTAAATGAATAAATAAAAGCTAAATAAAATAATTCTTTAAACAATATGTATTAAATATTCTTTTGAAGCCTAGCCTGATGGTGCAGACAGTAGCAAACTAAACTGCGACTCTGGAAGCCACAGTGCCAACTGCAGGTTTAAACTTCTGAGTGGGTGTGAAAAATACATCGGGTGCATGTGCACATGCCCCAGATCCCCAAAGCAGTAGGGTCCTCTTTCTCTGTGTGTTGCATGTTCTTGCATTCACTCCCTATCATGAATAAAAACAAAATTCTTTGAGAAGATTGGTAACTAGCTACTCCCTAACACCCTGGAACCAACCTGCCAGCCCTTGCAATCACCCAACCTTTGATCTCTCTGCCCCCAGGCTGAGAGTTGGGTTGCAGTGAACAACTCTGCCCGTCCCCTAGCAGGTAAATGCTTGGTGGCATTTGGTCTCTCTTGATGTGCCAGCTGCCATTCCACAGCCTTCTGAGGCTACTTGTGGGAGCTGTGGCTACACGGAATACCAAACTGGTTGTTGCATATTTTAGTTACCTCTTTTCCCTAAAACCTTTTATTATAGTCGCTTGCTTGGTGAATTTTAGTAAGGCTGTTGGGATGAGCATGGACTTTGTAGTCACACCTGGTTCAGGTCAAAATGCTTCGTCTCAGGGGCAGAAGATGGCATAATGGTTATGTCGCTGGACTTACACATATTCAACCATGGTTCGAGTCCCAGACCTAGGAACTTAAAACTCACGCTGGGTACAAGTGTATGGGCGCCCCAAATCCTGAGAAGATAATGAAAGAGAAGAGATTGTGGCGTGGCCATCCCTACCAGG